TGTGAGGGCAGGACAGAGCCAGAGTGGTCATATGTGTGAGGGCAGGACAGAGCCAGAGTGGTCATACATGTGAGGGCAGGACAGAGCCAGAGTGCCTCAAGCAGTCAAGATACCTCAGTCTTGAGAAAGACATGCTGCCTGGACAATTTCAGTTGTTAGTTGCTAGACAATATCACCTCTCGTGATAGTAACTTTGCAAGAGTATAAATAAACACCCCTACTATTGAAGTTAGGTCCTCTTGCCGATCAGGTAAGAGGTCGCCTCCACCTGACCCAGTTCTTGTCTTTTGTCTTTATTTTCCTCTTTTGTCTTTATTTTCCTCAGACCCACCATCATTCCTCTCTGGGATACGAGAGACCAACAAAGTCCACTACAATTTTACATATTTTTACATATTTCAAATACCATAAAATTCACCCATTTAAACTATACAGTTCAGTGAGTTTTAGTCTATTCACAAAGCTGTGCAACCAGTGCATGGGGAGCCTCGGGCGGGGAGCGCCGGTCTTTGGACCGGCGGCTCACTCCCGGCCTCGTAGGCCCCAAAAGGAGGGCTTCCAGCGCACAGGGAGCCACGGGCGGGGAGCACTGGTCTTCCGGCTGGCTGCCTTCCTGCCTCGTGGGCTCCCGGAGGGAGGGCCCCCAGCACACGGGGAGCCTCAGGTGGGGAGCGCTGGTCTTCTGGCTGGCTAGCTGCCTGCCTCATAGGCTCCCGGAGGGAGGGCCCCCAGCGCACGGGGAGCCTCAGGTGGGGAGCGCTGGTCTTCTGGCTGGCTAGCTGCCTGCCTCATAGGCTCCCGGAGGGAGGGCCCCCAGCGCACGGGGAGCCTCAGGTGGGGAGCGCCAGTCTTCCAGCTGGCTAGCTTCCTGCCTCGTAGGCCCCCGGAGGGAGGGCCCCCAGCACATGGGGAGCCATACAGTGGCGAGTGCTGTTGCGCGCTGGCCCTTAGGCCAGCCGCCGCCGCTCAATTGAGATCTATCATGACACAAAGAAACAGTGACACAATTGGCCCACCATGCACTGACTGCAGTTGCCCACCCACGGATGTGTCTGAATCATTCAAACTTTGAACAACCCCTGGGAATACATGCCATACAATGGGCCACTCTTGCTCCTGCCATTGAGAACCGGAAAGGTCCAGAGCCAGCAGAGGAGCAGCTGCTGAACAAGGACTCAGAGAACATGAGAATGCAGACTAAGCCCACAGAGTTAGAGGTCCAGTGGACTGGGATCACGAGAGCCGCTCGGAAGCTGTAAACCAGGAGGACCTTGCATAATACCTGCAGAGACTCACTGGAAGCCATTCTTCCCCTGACAGTACAGGCTGTGGTGGAACTCCGGAGAAGTCTACAGCAGGATTCCTGCTGCCTGTGCTGACAGTTGGGGAGAGGACACTAACTGGTTGTGGGGTCCCAATGCGATGGGAGGCTGGAGAGAAAACGCTACAAAAAATGACTTTCGCCCCAGACGACTCACTTGATTTTTGACAACCCTTAGGCTGTAACTACTTGTTAGATCCTTCTTGTGTATCTCTGTCTTCCTGAGAAACCACTTTGAAGATACCACCATGTATTACAGCAGTCATTGATATTTTCCTACTAATCTATCCGTAACTCTGTAATGTTTGTATTGTTCCTATCCTATTTCATAAATAGATCCATGTTTATTATTATGTGTTTCCTACAACAACCATTGAGAATTACTGAATGATTATTCAGTAGGTCACTCATGTATAGTTCTATTTATATTCTTTAGAAGCCACTTTGAAGATACCTAAGTATAGTACAACAACTACTGATAATCTCCTACCTCTTTTGTCTGTAACTCACTATCATTTGTCTATTTGTTTTCCTGAGAAACTATCTTATAGATAACAATATGTAAAACAATAACCATTGATAATTTCCTACCACTTTGTCTGTAATTTGGTAAGCCCCTCCTATTATTATGTTATCCTTCTTTTACTCTTTAAAATAAAAAAAAAAAGTTGTGCAACCATCACCATGATCTGAATTTAAAACATTTTAACACCCCAAAAAGAAACCACATTCCCAATAGACATCACTGTCTGTTTCCTCATCCCAACCCCAACTCCAGGCAACCATTAATTTACTTTCTGCCTCTATGGACTTGCATTTTCTGCATATTTCATATATACAGAATATACAATGTGTGACTTTTGTGACTGGTTTCCTTCACTTAGTATGTTTTCAAGATCGTTATGTTGGACCAGGCATGGTGGCACAAGCCAAACTCCCAGCACTTGGAAGGCTAAGGCAGGAAGATTGCTGTGAGTTCGAGGCCAGCATGGGCTACACAGTGAGTTCAAGGCTAACCAGAACTACACAGCAAGACCCTGTCTCAAAGAAAAAAAAGAAAAAAGATCATCATGTTGTAACATATAACAATACTTAATTTTTTTTACTGCTGAATAATATTGCATTGTAACCTACTCTTCTTTCCAGTCGTCTCAAAGTTTCCATTAAAAGGTACACATCATTTTTAGAATTGTGTTACAAAATATGAGGTTTAGGAGTAAATACATCTTGTACCCATTTTCAACATATTCTGGGCACTTATTTCGAAAAAAATTACTATGCAGTACCTGACCAGATCCATCCCCAGTAAGGCTTCTGTCTCAGCGGCCGGTTCTCTGGCATTGATGGCTTCATTGGCTATGCACACTCCATGTTCGTTAGCTCCCATTTCTGCCCCCCACAGCCAGGCGGGTCTGCTTATCACTATGGCATGGGTCCTCGGAACTTGGTCGATTGAAATGTAAGTGCACTGAAAAGCGAAGACAGAGAAGAAAGTACCGTGATCTGTCACTTAGTTTCCACCTTGATACTTACACAGGACCATCACCCAGAGTCACAGAGGCAAAAAATGAATGGCCTGCAGAATACCCAGCTTTAAAAGACATCCCAAATCTCAGTGCAGCTCAAAAGCTTCCATGGTGAGTTTCGGTCCACCTGGTTGAACCCAGCTCATTCAAGTACTTCCAGATCTGTGCTCCCTTTGCACTAGGTATCAGACACGATTGCCCTGAACACTCTGTGGCTGGTCATCTTCACACTCACAGACTGCCGCCTGCATGTTCCAAGGTACACGGCTGTTAATCCTCATGTGCAAAAATCCTGTAGAGCCATAGTTTTCAAACTTTTTTGAAGTTACAGAGCTCTTGCTTCAAGAGAAACCTTATCCAGAAGCCTGATACAGAAAAAAGATAAAAGAGAAGATGCTTTGCCTAAAGAGAGGTCCCCTGACCCCCTGCAGTGATCCCTAACACTTCCTGGAACCTAAACGATTGCGGTGGTGGGAGAGAGTGGGAAGTGATGATAATATTGACACTGAACTATTGCACTGAGTGTAGATTCTCTTGTGCACGGTGCTTTCCTGTCTGTCCCACTGGATTCTCACACCAATGCAGCAAGGCAAGCACACAAGGAAGTGGTCTCAGGAAAGTATATTTCTCACTGCTGTGGCAATTGCACTACAAACCACTTAGGTATGTATGTCTTACCTTCCCCAGACGATTGTGTCTTTACCTAGAAAAAGGAGTTACTTTAGAACAAACCATTTCATCCAAAGTATTTTTAACCTCAGAACCCTTCCTTTATACAAACTCTTTCACAGAAGTCTAGACAATAAAACTGGTCAAAGTGAGTTAGGGCAAAAGAAGGAAGAGGTTTAGGACCATGGCAGAGATAAGCACTTTGATCCTGGCCTGTTTGTCCTTCCTCTCTCCCTCCTCACATGGTGGCCCATCAGAGGGCTGGGCTGGAGTGCTAGGTCACACTGGAGCCTTCTGATTCCCACAGCCCATGAACATGTGACATATACTTTGTAAGTCTTTTGTTTTTCAGAACTAGGGATTGAACCCAAGGCCTTTGCACTATGCTGCATTTCTAGACCTTTCTATTTAGAGAGTCTTGCTAAGTTGCTAAATTACTCAGGTTGTGCTCAAACTTGCAAGCTTACTGCCTCAGCCTCTTGGGTAGCTGTGACTAGCAATGTGCATCATGCCCGGTCCTTTTTTTAAAACTCAATGCTAGATTAACTGAATACAGCCAAAAAGTTAGTCTGCATGGACCTCCCCCACCCTTTAATCTCTCAACCTCAGGTAAGAACTGAAATGCCATGTAGCACAGGCTGGTCAGGTGACTTCCTTAGCTGAACAATTTATGTTGGGTGTTGCCCTAACAGGGGTACTGTGATACCACTTGATACATATGGCAAAGTGTAAACTAATTAAGTCTGGAGGATGCCAAGGAACTCTTGAGGTTTTGGGTGTGTGTGTGTGTGACAAGTTGATAATAATAAATACTCTTGAAACGTTTTCCCCTATTCAGTTGCCAGAAATTATTTATTTTTAAAAATGATTCTTGTAGAGCAAAAAGCTGGCCAAAATAGTAATCACAACTATATTCCTCTGTGTTTTCTAAATGAAGCTGAAGTTTCTATCTTAAAACTGCAGTCTTCTGTGTACAAATGTATTTTAGGAATTCTATGATTTCAATGTTAAATGGTCCCCAAACTCCCATGGGTTAAATAAAGCTTTGGTCCTCAGAGTGGAGTGTTCGTGAGTCGGGGAGCCTTTAAAGGGTGAGGCCTAGTGGGAGGTCTTTAGGGCACTGGCGTTAAAAGGGACTGTGAGACTCCAGCTTCCTCCTCTTTCTCCTCTGCTTCCTGGCTCCTCTGCCACATGCTTCTGCCAGGAGAAGCTGCCTCACCAGACCAAAGCAATGGGGCTAATCAATCACAGGCTGAAACCTCCAAAACTGTCAGCCAAAATAACTCCTTTCTCTAAGTCAATTATCCCAAGTATATATTATAGAGATGAAAAGCTAACCAACACAGGCATTAATCAAGACTTTCCAAAACCCTGACCCTGCTGAAACCAAGACAAATTTCCTCTTGAATAAGTAAATAAGGAAAGAATTTCAGCTTCTTAAGAATAGATTCATCATAAAGGTTTTTTTAAAAGACAACAAAAAGCAAAAATAGTATCTGGCTTTATTGATTTGTCCTCAAATTTGTTTTTATGTGTTTACTTTCATTTTACCAATTATTACCCTATAGTCAAGGCATTTTTATGCCAAGTGCTGCCAAGAGAAAAGTAGTGAGGTTGGCCTGCCCCTGTCCTTTGGTTAGGAAAAACGTGCACACAAATTACTATGACCACTGTGATGACCTGTAAGTGTCACTGAGATCTGTCCCTCTCATACTTACAACATCTTGCCCACTCCTCTAATCAATTCTGTCCTGTTCTGGCTTTTTTCCCCCCATTGCATTCCATTTATCCCCTTCTAAAATATTATTTTTTATCTGTGCTTTTTTATGTGTGCCATCTCCCTCAGCTAAAATGTAAACTCCATGAGGGAGGGAAATATTTTTATTGTTTAGTTAATGGACATATCCCAAGGTTGGAAAATAGTAAGCATCAATAAACTTTTTTGGTGGAGGGATGGATGGATGGATGGAGGGACAGATGGACAGAGGGATGGATGGATGGACGGTTTACAAAGGTCTAAGAGAGCATAATAAAAATCTGAAGCGAAAAAAAGAACAAATTTAAGTTGCCAGTTGATATTGAAAAATGGGCCCAGAATCCAGGTATTCCAGACAGAGGTAAAAACCTAGAAAAAAAAAAAAAACCAGAAGTGGGGATGTCCAATGCATGTTCACCAGGGAGGTCCTCACTGTGTTGCTGAAGGAGCTACTATGATGTCACTGTGGCACAGAACTGCAAAGGCTCAGTAAGGACTGACTGATAAAAATGTGGCACATGGAATTTAAAAGACCAGATGGTCCTTGAGGGAGTTCAAAATATATGCAACCAACCTGACACTTTTCAGGCCAAATTCAGAATGATGCGGAAGGAAGGGATCCCCAAGTAGCCAGATGGGCTACACCAGCCCCTCCTAAACCCCAGCTTGAAAGCCAAAGAGCCAAATCCCTCTCACAAGCAAGGGAACCTTAGGGAGCCTGTAACACATACCCTTTTCGGCGTCTTTGTCAGGAACCACAGAAGCCTGGGCCTAACAAGGGCGCTCTGTGACAGCTATTCAGGCTTGCTCCATTGTGTTTTAAATCTGCTAATCACAACCACCTTTGAGGGGTGGGGGTAGGGTGGGAAGGGACGAACACACTACTCTCATAGGGTTGGTAATTTAAAATCCCAGTTTGGGAACAAATCGCACAAAATGAAGAACATCCAAACAAGATGCAATTAGCTAAACTTTATAAAGCCAACCATTTAGAACCTGAGCTCCACAGGCAGTCTTTTTGTGAATAAAATTCACTGACCTTGACAACTGCCACATTATAAATGAGGAGAGAAGTGGGCTTTGAGGTAGCAGAGGAGGTTTCAACACAGAAAAATATCCAAAAAGCACATGAAGTCTTTCAGTGCAGCAAAAGCAAGGTAGTACCCCAAGTCAAAGTCCTAGCTAAATTTTTATTAGAAAAGAAAAAAGAAAGCAGAAAGTATTCAGTGCCTGGATGGATCTTTACAAAAGTGGTTTGGGTACCAGTCCAGGCATTAGAAGTGACCTAGGGAAAGGGATGAGCATTTGTCTTACTGCCCCTGGGCTATTGACACCCTGACTTTCATAAAACAAATCCATCAGCCAGTGCCACTTCTGGTGCCAAAGCCACATCATCCAAGAATGCCTCAAGTAGGGAGGGATTGTGATGAAGCATACTTCCAAGTGTCAGCACTAGCTATCTGCTGAGTCACAAGGTTTTAAAGGAATTGGCTGTCCTGAGCTTGCCACTCTCTCGAGTCTGCAGGGGAGCACCTGCCCAAATGGAAGACAGAAAAGACAAGCCTTGGAAAGGCCCTACATACAAAGACAAAGCCAATTATTCTGCAGAGTAAACCCGTTATTGTCTTGTGGCATTGGGTCAACAGTGAAAAGCAAGATCAGCTTCATGCCGGCGCCTACACCACCCACATTCCAGCACACACTTTCTGGACAACGGCAAGTGAAAGGGGGAATAGACACACTCGCACAATAGACATTTCAGTTAATGAAATGCAACCATTGTGCCTTTCTTACTGTACTCCGATGGTGAACACAACCCTGGCACCACCAGCAAAGACCACTGTAGGACGTGTTGATGAGTCAGCCGAACTCCTCAGGGAGCGAGGAGAACAGGCAGGGAAACTGGGAGGCTTCAGAGAACCAGCTTCAGTTTTAGGAAATTTGTAAATCCAAGCAGGATTGCTCAGGATCACTAAGGGGTTTTGCTTGTTTGTTTTAATGTTTGGGTTTTTTTAACCCTAGTATCTTGCCTGTTGTTTGTGCATCCCTAAGGTTTATTAACCTAAGTAAAGACATAGAGGTTAAAGGGCAATACAGTTAACCACACTTTAGAAGAACTGATCTGCAATTCCCTAAAACTTTATGAGATCTTTACAGCTGGGCTGTTCATAGTCCTGGGGTCAGGAAGAGGTTTGGGGTGGGAGACATGCTGGACAGAGCTCTCTGCTCAGCCAAGATCTGATGGAATCCAGAGGACACTTTTCACCCTACAAAGCCCCTAATCCTGAGAAGAAAACAGACAGGAAAGTAGAGACCATGGAGCTCTATTCCATTGTCCACTTTGAGAATAATTTGCACTTTCCCTTTGTAAGAAATAACCTTCAAAATTGAAAGTCAGGTCCCTCCCCACATAATCACACATACCACAAACATAACGTGCACCTGAACAACTTTTCTCACAGTGCCAAGTCATCACTAATTCTTAATCTTCTGTGCTTCCTGAAATATTTGCACTGG